GTGTAAACAGTAGGACTCAAATGTTGAAGGCAAGGTGGTGTATTTTCAAGAGACAGACAAATGTGAAATTTGGAAGATGGCGAAAGTGTAGGCAGCATAAGTCACAGAACAAATGCAACTGGAAAATGGTGAAGACAGTTGTGCCTATTAAACATCACTGAGATTCACCATGAAACTGAGGTCTCCTGGGAAACTACATGCATGTTAGACAAGGAGCAGGCAAGCATACCATAGGGCTAGACCAAGATAATTCCGAACTCTCACATGCATATGGGTTTTAAAAAGTGACAGAAAAGACCTCCCCTGTATATATCTACATAGACAGTTTAACTTCTGATTTAGGGATTAGTATTTTCAAAAATGATTATGTATTTAGGGGGAGAATGCTCAACACTATTTTCAACTGCACTGATGTGAAGATTTAGGAAATAACTGTTCTGGTTGCATTAAGTGCTAATAAGACCTCAGCTGGAATGCTGTATTCATTTCTGGGCAGCACTGTTCAAGATGTCAGTCAGCAACTTGGACAAAATTCAGGGGAATTCTCTGAACATGGCAATTGGTCAAGAAGACAAATCAGAAGAAGTGAAGGAAATATGGTGTTTGTTTTTAACCTACACAAATTAAGTGGGGAAAATGATGGTTACAGTATTCCCTTGCTACTTCGCGGTTTGCTTTTAACGGACTTGATGTTTCGGGGTTTTTCAATAAATACAATAATGTACATATTTACACTGGAGCTGCGCCTCTCCTTGCCATGCGCATCATGGGAGATGCCAGCCTGGGAAGCCGCCTCCTGCAGGAGCTCCACTTGGCTAGCTCCTCCTCTTCGCCTTCTTCCTCCTCTTCCTCACTCTCCCCTGCAGATGGGGGCCCTTCAGGGTTGAAAGTGGGAGAAAGAGGAGGAGGAGGAGGAGGAGGAAGAGAAGAAAGCTGCACCATGCCAGCCTCTGTAAAGTGCCGCCTCCCTTCCTCCTCTCCTCCTTTTCCTTTCTCCTCCCTCCTTCTCTCTTCTCCTTTCCCTCCCTTTTGCCCTCCTCTCCTTTGCCAACTGGAGCTTGGGATCCAATGGCAGCCTCTTTATGTCTGTCTGTCTGTCTGCCTGCCTTCCTCTCTTTCTCCTTTCTCCCTTGCAAGCTCCCTGTTTTCTGGCTCTCTGGCTACAAGCTCCGCTCGAGAGGAGGAGGAGGAGGAAAAGGAAGGTTTGGCCCTCTTTTTCTCTCTTGGATGGTCTCTCCCACCTCTGATGCATGACGATACTGAGGCAATAGCTCCCACCAGCAGGCAGGGGAGACTGCAAAGGAACACTTCCCCACCTTTGGTCATTACATCACAAGACCAACCCGGTGCAGGGAGATTTCCGATGAGGTGCCACATATCACCAAACTTACTACAGCTGCATTGGTTACCAATTGAGCACCGGATCACTTTCAAAGTGATGGTACTCACCTTTAAGGCCTTGCATGGTCTGGGGCCGATGTACCTGAGGGACCGCCTCACCCCCTACCAACCCCAGAGATCCCTCCGTTCTGAGGACCAAGATCTATTGGAAATTCCCAGTGTCAAGACCTTGCGTCTAACAGCAACCAGACGCAGAGCCTTTACAGCAGTGTCACCATCACTCTGGAATACTCTGCCACCTGAAGTCCGTGCCTTGCGGGACTTATCAGCTTTCCGCAGGGCATGTAAGACATACCTATTTCGACAGGCCTCTGACTTTTGATATTGCTGTTTTTAAACTGTTTTAAATTGTTTTCAAATTGTGTTAGATTTTAGCCATTCTTGTAAGCCGCTCCGAGCCCCAGGGGAGTGGCGGCATATAAGTTGAATAATAAATAAATAAATAAATAAATAAATAAGTATTTTGCCAAAGATTAAAGTCCACTGGTATTGAATACAAATTCCCATTAGTCTCAGCCAACATGGTCAGTGGCTCTGAGTGATGGGAGCAATACTTCTATATATCCAATGGATGTCAAATTAGGCTGGTCTGTATTGACATAGGAGGAAAATATGTTAGTTTGTACCTTTATTAGAAGGCAGAATTGACTTTCTGTATCTGCAGTCATGGGCTGTTGAAAATAGGGTGAATTTGTGGTCTCTCATTCATAAGGCTGTCATAACTTGAAGTTGATTTGATGATAATTAACAACAAATACATTGGTTCAGATCTGGGAAGAACATTGTGTAAACACTTTACCCCAAAGTGAGATCAAGGTCACAAAATAAAAAAATTAAGACTGTTTAACTGTATCAGAACTAGACAAAAAACAAACCTTTGCTGAAATCACATATTAACCCAGGGTCCAAATTTCCTTCATTCCCTGCACTTAGAGCTAAGCAGAAAAATAAAATAAAAAACCTGGAGCGATCCCTTCACACCTAACAGCAACCAGACGCAGAGCCTTTACAGCAGTGGCACCATCACTCTGGAATACTCTGCCACCTGAAGTCCGTGCCTTGCGGGACTTACCAGCTTTCCGCAGGGCTTGTAAGACATACCTGTTTCGACAGGCCTTTGATTTTTGATATTGCTGTTTTTAAATTGTTTAAAATTGTTTTTAAATTGTGTTAGATTTTTGTAAGCCGCTCCGAGCCCCAGGGGAGTGGCAGCATATAAATTCGAATAATAAATAAATAAATAAATAAATAAATAAATAAATAAATAAATAAAATGTTAATTTGGTATTTGTCATTAGGGCTAAGAGGTAGAACTAATTACCCATTCAGCAATATTGATATGCAAGTAAGAGCAATTCAGGGGATGCTGTTGTTTTTACCTTTTTAATTTCTTAACTTTGAATTTGTTTTAATGGTTTTTAACTGGGATTTTAAAAATGTTTATATTTAATCCTGTTTTAATGTTTGAATATTTGTATATTTTAAAAGGTTATGCTGATGCTTTTATGTTAAGCTGTATCGAGTTCCCTTTGGGGGAGATAAAGCAGAGTAGTAGTAGTAATAATAATAATAATAATAATAATAATAATAATAGTAACAATAATGCATGTAGACTTCTGCTAATGTAACAAGATTTTTCCTGAACCCTTTCAGAATTGCTTCAAAGGACCATTCAACTGAGAAAAATTGAAAGATTCTTTCAAGTGAAAGTCTACTTGCGTAAGCCTGGATGAAATCTATGACACCAAAGGAGACTGTCATGGACTGGTTAACAGCTGTTCCAGCAATAATGTTTAATGTGTTATTGGCAAGAAATGAATTGATCCAGTTTAATAGAGCTACATATTTTTAAACAAAATCATGTTGCCTATTGGTGCTGTCTTAAAATGAACACTGTTCCTTAGCCATGTATGTTATAGAAAGAAATTCCAATTCTCAGGCAATGTTTGCTATGTCATGAATGTTCATCATATACAAAGAAAGAATGTATGGATATGACAGCTTATCCACATACAAATTTGTATAAGATGGTAGAAGAAGACCAATGGCAGCTCACCAATGGCATGCTCACTGGCTGTAGTGAGTTCATGACAGAAGAGAGTTTTGATTCTAGGACATCCAGCTCATAGTCCACGCCCTAGATAACAATGGCCACATCAGTTCTCTTTATATTGAACAAGTTCAACTTGAGTGTTTATAACAAGAGTTCAGTAACAGAATATAATGATGTTTTTCCATTGTGGAATCCCCTTTGTTAGAAAAAGATTTATGAAAGGTTGCAGAAGAATCACTGCAGAGTTGCTTTTTTAGACTGTCTTTACCACACAACATCAAGGACACATGTCTGAAAAATACCCACTATGGCATATATTTACATTATTGTGGAAGGAGGATGAAACAGTCTACTATAAAATTCCTTTCTTATTTGTGTTATGAAGACACACTTACTCTTGTTTGCCAGATGTCATACATATTCATGTATGGAAGCATTAAATATAGCATTGGTCTTCAAGTAGTGGTGTATGATGCTAAAATGAATCATGTCCCCAATCATAGCAATTTTTTACACACAAAAAGGAGAAAAAAGAAATGGGAACAAAGAAATGTTCACCAGCAAGATACTGCTCCTTCACATAACAACTGGGGTTGATGAAAATGTAGCTCACAGGAATAATGCACACACACATAGTTTTATATTCCCACAAAACTTATAGGGAACCCATAAAGCCTTTATAATCCCCATTTTTAAAAACTAGTTGATTTTCCAGTCAAAATCAACACAAAAATGTCCAAACCACCATATGAACATGACAGATTGGGACCCCACCAAAATGCAAAAAAATGCAACCCCCCCCCCAAAAAAACTCCCATAGACCCCTGTTAAAACCCCTATTAAGCCAAAACCTGAAGTGACACTACTTTTGGTTGTGTTGGGGGGGGGGGGGTTGTCCATCACATTATACATCTTGTGAGACAGGACAATAATGCCACTTTTAGATGGGAGTAGGCATCTGAAGCTGCAAATAACAGTTCACTTAAGCTTGTTGCATTCCAGATAGAATAAAGATTTGGTTTGGTTTGACTACGTTTGCAATTTAGTCTTAACCACTGGACCATGGCAGTTTGTGAGATGAGTAGACGCAGTATAAACAACACAAGAAGTCATGTTTTTTGTTTCAGTTGTGGCTACAAAAGGTGTAGATCAGACAAACAATAGTCTCTAAAAACACATGGGAAATGCTACAGACTGGTTGGGTTGCCTATATTATAAAGTCATTGACTGGCAGTCAGCAACTAAAATCACTCAGTTTAGCTGCTGAGCCATCACAATCAAAATTACATTTGGTTCATGAAATAAACAAATGTGGATAGTCAATATTTAATCAGCAAAAAATAAGAAGAAGGAAATGGGAACAGTCTTAAAATGAGTTCATTTAACTCTAGATAACTACTCTTCCTCTCTTCAATGTCTCATGCTAAGGTCTGTCCACCCCTGTTCTCCTGAGACAGTTAATTAGAGATATTGGGGATTCAACCTGCAACCCAAAGAAGTTATTTTACAGCACTATAGGTTAGTATAATCCAATGACTGGAAATACCTGTAAAGCACCTATTTCTTCCTCCTTCCTGAGAGTCTTCTCCAATAGATCTATATAAGAAAAAAAGAAAAAACATGCCTGATGAATGGATGTATCTGATCAGTGTTACACATGAATTATCAGAACTACCCCCAAATTTAAAAGAGAAAACAACTTCATGATCTCACACGAAGGTAACACAATAAGAGAACACTAGTCTGCTCTCACTCTTTTGTCCAAAACAAGTACATGTATCATTGTAAACCAGACTGAGCCCCTTCAATTGCTCAGCAAATGAAGTAGTTTATTTATTTATTTACTTTATTTATACCCAGCCTCTCTCACCCTGCAGGGGACTCAAAGCGGCTTACAAACTGTGACAAAAATTCAATGTCTCATCATAGAACAACCATAAAACAAACCATGTCAAACTATAAACAGTTGATATATATATATAAAAAATTAACACACATAAACACAATAAAACAAGTTAAAAAACATAACTGATTAAAAACAGTAAAGTGCCGAGTCTCGGTTTCCATACATATTGACTTTCTCATGGTCATTATTCAAACTGTTGAGGTCAATTTCGTGTTATCTTATTCTCCGAACGCCTGTGTACAGACCCAGGTCTTTAGCCTTTTCCTGAACACCAGGAGGGATGGGGCCAGCCTGATGTCACTGGGAGGGAGTTCTACAACCGAGGAGCCACCACAGAGAAGGCCTTGTCTCTCGTCCCCACCAATTGCACTTCCGAGGGGGGTGGGACCAAGAGCAGGGCCTCCCTAGCAGATCTTAAAGCTCTAGTTGGTTCATAAAGGGAGATCCGTTCAGACAGGTTCCCCAATAACACATAGAACCTGGCCCTTTCTTTGGAATACAACAACACAACAACAACTATGATGGGGAAAACAACTAAGGGCTCTTCGGACCCTCCAGAATAAGAATCGTGCAGTTTTACAGCAGACATGAGCTCCTCCTCCGCCTCCTCCTCCTCCTCCTCCTCCTCCTCCTCCTCTTCTTCTTCTTCTCCTTCTCCTTCTCCTTCTCCTTCTTCTTCTTCTTCTTCTTCTCCTCCTCCTCCTCCTCCTCCTCCTCCTCCTCCTCCTTTTTTTTGTATATTTAAGGCTAGCAGTTGGAAGATCACAGATCCAAACCACTGGGATCCCATACCCAGCTACAGAGTTTTTGCAGTTCTTGCAGGTTGCCCTTCCTCCTCTTGAAAATCCACCCCCTTCTCAAAGCCCCCCCCCCTTTTCCAAATCCATGTCTTCTTAAAAAGAACATGCCTTCTTGGTTCTCATGTTGGAAGAAATGCAGAATAAAGACTAAACAAATAATTAAACAAATATAGCTGGAACATGGAAGTGACTTGATTGTGCCTCAGACACTTTGCTTCCCCCTTGCCTTGAATGCATGGAGATGCTTGAAGGGAAAGTGGTACTGGGTGCATCGCTAGCATGGAAAGCTCACAAATTCTCCAATATGCTGGCTGAATATGTTTTGCTATTTCCTGGACTTTTTTGCAAGGGAATCTGGTGACGTCAGGGTGACTGTCTATGCCCCCACTATTTTGCACACCACAGAGATTAGCTTTGTGCCAATCTGCTTCCTCAGTCCTGTTTTAAGGCAAATACATAGAAAAAGTCTTCCTCTGCAAGAGCCTCTTAATGGTGCTTCTTTCCATGATTAAAATGGCAAAATAGAGCTACCTTGCTTGATCTGATATTGTGTCATAAGCACTAAAGGAAGGGAGAGAAGAGGAAGAGGTAGGCAAGAAGTATAAGGAAAGCTACAGACATATCAAAAATATTTGCACAGCTGATGTAAATAACTCATTCACAAGAGTTATATTTTTCTCAGCTTTACCTAAAATATAGGAAATCAGCTAAATATAAGTTGTTGAGACTGTAACCCCTTATCCAGGAGGGATAAAAGTATATTTGTTACTTATTTATTTAGATTATTTTAATCCACCAATCCTAAAAGCTGTCTACATATATATTTAATCATTAAAATGTTCAAATTTACATTACAGCTCCATACAATGCTTAAAATTCATTTTGGAATACATCTCTTCTGAATAGCAAGAAGAAAAGAGACGATCTTACAGAATCCAAAATCTGGACTGTTGAACTCATGGCCACTTAAAGATCATTGATATTCATTGTTTATATTAACAGGTGGAATGAAGTTTGAGCCAGAGCAGACAAAGCAGAAAACATGTTTCTGCAACAAAATACTTTCCAGATTGTTAGAGTACTAAATACATGAAAAACAATAGAAAGACCAATAAAGATAAAGTATTTCTGCTTCCTACAGTCTGAAAGCAAGTTGTCATCTTAATTGCATGCTGGTTCCAAGGGTTTCTATTTCTAGCACCATATTTCAGAAGTAGTTCAAGTAATGGCACAGGAAGGGATCACATCAAATTTTTACCTATGAGTATACAGACCTTTTCCTACCAAAAATACAAAGGACAGTTCATTTTAAACATTTCTCTTGAAGAGCAAGTGTAGGAAACATAGAATCAAAGAGTTGGAAGACACAATCTCAGCTCATGCTGCCATGTTTTTTTCCAGCAATCCCTTCATAGAATCATAGAGTTGGAAGAGACCCCCTGGGCCATCTAGTCCAACCCTCTGCTAAGCAGGAAAATTACATTCAAAGCACCCCCGACAGATGGCCATCCAGCCTCTGTTTAAAAGCCTACAAAGAAGAAGCCTCCACCACACAGAGAGTTCTGCTGCTGAACAGCTCTCACAGTCAGGAAGTTCTTAATCAAACTATGCATTGCGGTTTGCAAAGGGTATTGTTAAAAAGTCCCTTTAACTGTTACATCGATAAAATTCAAGCTTTGCCTGCAGAAGGGAGTGGTAAGAAGCCATTCTCAACCCACTCTCTTCATCAGCCTTACAAAAATACATCCTTAAGGATTGGAGAAGGCTCCTGACTAGGAAAGATGTGAGGTCGGGAGCAAAGGGTTAACAGGAGATGCAGAGATTCAAGTAGAGTTGTCTTCAATAGATGTAGCAGAAATCTCCGAATATGGGAATATAGGAAACTGTCTTGTATTGAGTCAGATGATAGGGACATTTAGAATCATAGAGCTGGAAGAGATCACAAGGGCCACCCAGTCCAATCCTGACATGCAGGAATATCAATCAAACTTTATCAATCAAACTTTATTTATATTCCACCCCATCTCCCCATCAAAACACTCCTGAGAGATGGCCATCCAGCCCATGCTGGCCTCCAGAGAAGGGGATTCTACCAGGTTCCGAAAGCATATTCCACTGCTCTTACAACTGGGAAGTTTTTCTTAATGTTTAGGTAGAATCTCTTTTACTGCAATTTGAATCCATTGCTCCATACGTCACCAGAGCAGACGAAAACATGCTTGCCTCCTCCTCAAAATGGTATCTTAACTTTCTCTTCTCCAAGCTGAATATACCCAACTCCCCAAACCACTCCTAACAGGGTTTCGCTTCTAGACTTTTTATTGTGGTCAACTTCCTCTGGATGGCTTGTTAATATCCTTCAGCTTGTTAACATCCTTCTAGAAGTTGTGGTGACCAGAACTGTACAGTGTTCCTGCTTCTTGGCAGGGGGTTGGACTGGATGGTCCAAATTTTATTTGCAAATTTGATCAGCATGCCCTCTGTTTCGTTGTCTAAATCATTGATAAAGATGATGAATAGCACCGGGCCGAGGACAGAACTCTGTGGGCACCCCACTAGTCACCTATTTGCAGGATAAAGAATATGCAGGATGAAGGATTTGGGTTCAGCCAATTAACCAATTACACTGACCAACACACATTTGTGTGCCTCAAATGTTAGATCTGTTTCTGGGCATGTTTGAGCTGTTGATTCCAAATACAATGGCAGCTTTCCCCTATCAGCTCTAAATTTTGAGATACAGAACATACACCATATACTAGAATTCATCTGCTCACCCACAGAAAATTATGATAACCTTACCTAAGACATTAGGGCTGGTACAATCTATCAACGGCAATTTTCCAAATCAGCATCCCAAATAATTCCAGGGACAGACCTAAAAACCAAGGATTTTTTGTTGTTGGCTAGGCTATCAATTCACCTAGTAGTAGCACTGTCTAGTCCACATTGTACAGTATTAGCTTGCTTGCAAAAAAAATCATAGGGACCTTTTCAAAGGCCTTACTAAAATCAAGATACAGTACATCCACAGCACTCCCTTCATCCGCTAAGCTTGTAAATCTGTCAAAAAAGAGATAAGATTAGTCTGGCATGACTTGTTTTTGAGAAATCTATGCTCACTTTTAGTGATCGCAGCATTCCTTTATAAGTGCTGACAGACTGTTTGTTTAATGGTCTGCTCTAGAATTTTTCCTGGGATTGATGTCAGGCTGACTGGGCAATATTTGTTTGGGTCCTCTTTTTCCCCTTTTTTGAAGATGAAGACAACCTTTGCCCTTCTCCAGTTTGCTGGGACTTCTCTTGTTCACCACCAATTCTCAAACATGAATGCCAATGTTTCTGAGATTAGTTTTGCCAGTTCTTTTAATACCCTTGGATTCTGTGCATCTGGCCATTGTCTAGAAAGCACAAATCAAGTCCATGGAATAGCTTTCTGGCCTGCAAACCACAGTTCATTTTTATGCAGGATATTTAAAATTTGAATGCCCTCTTATCTCTGCAGATAAAATAAGAAAAATGGCACATCTGCCCCATCCCTTCCCAAGGAGTGTGTGCAGTTCTCTCCAATCATTTTAACCATCAAGACAACTCTAGAAGTAGTAACGGTTGAAAGACAGTGACTGATCCAAGACCAGTCTGTAAATGAGGATTGTATACTCCGTCTCCTGCTCAACCATTATACCACACTATCTAAAAATAAGGACAACTTCTTCTACAGGAGATAGGAGTCAACTGACATCTTCAGCCATGTACAGTTTAGCAATGGCAGCTACCAAGATATGAAGTTTACGGATTACACTCAATCCCAGCTGCATGTCTTCAGAGAAAACCAGCATCCAGGATCCAGAGTCATTGGTTCACTGCTGAGATTTCTTTCACTTCTCTCA